GATCACTCCCGACATGTTTTATATGGTATTCTCATAAACTATATTTTAGAAATTCCCGCCTTTAAGCGTGTTCTTTAAGAAATACTAGCCAGTCCCAAGTTTTCATATTTCTATACCCCCGATACATAAATGTAGGTTTATTTGGTTTCATAATTATAATCTAATATATAAAGCTCAATTCTGTAATTAATATTAATATTTAATTAATATTGAAAGTTTTGGGAAATAATTTTCATTTATCAAACTGAAAGTAATAATTTTCGGCATGTTCATTAAACAGAAGTTTTAAAAAAAAATTATCTTTTACAAAAAATCTAATTATGTCTTTATTTAGTCCTATAGCACTTACTTCCCTTTGATAAATTAGGAAAACACAATTACTTCCCTTTATAAAACCATTGCATTAGTGGAAAAGAATTTACTTTTTATTACTTTGTTTTGTTGTTGGGAAAAAAAATAATTACATAATTAGCGGGGATTGATCAAGTGCAAATGTTGTAGGTATTTTACGGATAAGCTTGGAGTATTATAATTGTTCATTAAATTGAAACAGGCGCGTTCGTTTAAGTGAGTGCAAAAGACTATGAATAAGTTGGGGTACTATAGTCGTTCATTAAGCTAAAACAGGTGATTCCGCCCCGGGCGTTTATGTTCGCGTTAGTGTTTTCTTTGTGTTTAGGTGGGTTTGCGTTAGTGGTTGCGTTTTGATTTGGTTCGTTTTTGTTCTTTCTTTTTTCGTTTTTGTTTGTGTTTTTTTCTTTGTGTTTGTATTTGTGTTTTTGGTTGGTTTTGCGTTTGGATTTGGTTTGTTTTCGTTTGCTTTTTCGTTGTTTTTTTGTGTTGGTATTGGTGTTTGTGGTTGTGGTTGGGTTTGTTGTTAGGTTTTTGTTTTCGTTTGCTTTTTTGTTTGTTTTTTTCTTTGTGTTTGTATTGGTGTTTGTGGTTGTGGTTGGGTTTGTTGTTAGGTTTTTGTTTTCGTTTGTATTTGTAATTGTGTTAGCGTTATGTTTGCGTTTTGTTGTTTTGGTTTTGTTTGGTTGTGGTTTGGGCGGGCAATGCCGGGTTTATGATGATTACTAAACACACAGGTAATGGTCTTTAACAGAAAGGTTTTTCACAGAAGCCAGAGCAGGGCCTGGCCGGGACGGCTAGTGTTTTTATAAATTTACATAGATTTAGATATATAATTAAAAACAGATTGACTTGTATATGAGTATACATATAGCTTTTAAAATATAATGTTTAAGAAATATACATAGAATATTAATAGTTATATAAACACATATCAAACTTATACAGTTCTTGCTTCGCGTTTCCTTTCTTAGGGAATTCCCTTACACTCATAAACATATCAGTAAAACGGTGGACTACTCAATTATCTGCTATTCATAACAAAGACAATGGTTTATTTATGTTTCAGATAAGGTAATTCATCAATAAAATATCATTTTACGACAAAGTAAACTTATCCTAGCTGCTTATATATATAAAAAAATTCATTTTTACCTTTTTTGTATAACTTAGAAAGGTGTTATCGACAATGATATAGACTAGATTATAGAATATAGATCTACCAAAAATGGTATGTTAAAAATATGTTAAAAATTGAATCAATGTTTAAGTTAAGCTGTTATTACTAACACAGCGATAGTTGAATTATTTGCGAGATGAAAAAAAACAAAAATTTTATCATAGGATTCGGTTTGAAAATAAGCGCTACACGGCGTTTTCAAGCTAACTTTTCTAGTTTATAGTATCGCTACCTAACCCTGACCCTTATTTAGACCTTAACATTGATACTGATTAAAACCCTAACCTACTACTGACAAGTATGAAAGTACATTAAAGCAACGCTACTAACAAAAAAGACGATTCGATATTTGCTAACAATAGTGTGATTGCTGGCCTTCGTGTAATTATAATGATGTGTTTTCCTGTCTGCAGAATGTAAAGCCTAAACACAGCATGTTTGTAAACAAACTCAAGTTCGTACATACGTTTGTGATGTTACTCTTTACAACAGCTCTTGTTTTCCTTTCTCGGCGGTAAGTAAAAGGTGATTTAAGATGTTTCGCTATAAATAGATCACTGCTAATCCTGAAAGGTTTTTAGCGCAATTTCCATACTGGCAATTGCGTTTAATAATGCGTCATTTCTGGATGGATGGATGGATGGATGGATGGATGGATGGATGGATGGATGGATGGATGGATGGATGGATGGATGGATGGATGGATGGATGGATGGATGGATGGATGGATGGATGGATGGATGGATGGATGGATGGATGGATGGATGGATGGATGGATGGATGGATGGATGGATGGATGGATGGATGGATGGATGGATGGATGGATGGATGGATGGATGGATGGATGGATGGATGGATGGATGGATGGATGGATGGATGGATGGATGGATGGATGGATGGATGGATGGATGGATGGATGGATGGATGGATGGATGGATGGATGGATGGATGGATGGATGGATGGATGGATGGATGGATGGATGGATGGATGGATGGATGGATGGATGGATGGATGGATGGATGGATGGATGGATGGATGGATGGATGGATGGATGGATGGATGGATGGATGGATGGATGGATGGATGGATGGATGGATGGATGGATGGATGGATGGATGGATGGATGGATGGATGGATGGATGGATGGATGGATGGATGGATGGATGGATGGATGGATGGATGGATGGATGGATGGATGGATGGATGGATGGATGGATGGATGGATGGATGGATGGATGGATGGATGGATGGATGGATGGATGGATGGATGGATGGATGGATGGATGGATGGATGGATGGATGGATGGATGGATGGATGGATGGATGGATGGATGGATGGATGGATGGATGGATGGATGGATGGATGGATGGATGGATGGATGGATGGATGGATGGATGGATGGATGGATGGATGGATGGATGGATGGATGGATGGATGGATGGATGTGTGTTCGCAGCTTTAAGTCGTATCTCCTCCTCAACGAAGCAATATCGAGGACTAGTTCCAAAGCAAATATGTTAAGCAAGTTCCAAGGATGATTGTGGGCCAAAAAAATTCCCGGAATTCCTTCCTGGATTTCCCGGAAAAAGCCAAAAAACCTCGAACAAATGCAGTTTTTGCTCCATATCTCGGTAACCAGACCACTTAGCGACTTGAAACATTTACCAATCGATTCCTGCCATAATTTAGAACAATATTGCCGAAGAAAGTTTTCAAAAATATCCTTTCGTTCGGTCTCAAAAAGTTAATGAAGAACATTTAAACTAAGCATCATGTAGGCCTAGGATGATATTTACTACTTTTTTAAACTGAGCATCTTGTAGGCCTACACGTTAAAATAAAACTATTTCCGTTGATATAGGTTAATATAGTTGTCTTTTTTTTACTTATTAATGCAAACGTTATTTTTGTTTGGCTCTTGTTTGTCAACTTCTTTGTGCAAGATTTTCAAAAGTAAAAATTTAAAATAAAACAATAACAAAAATAACGAAAACTTGGAACGGAAAACATGAGATGATAATTATTGAGGACAACAGCAAAATATAAAATACTAAACAATAAACAATGCTTAAGCGAAATATAGGCCTACCCTAAAAATGTAATTATTTATTTTTTAGATATAGAATCTATACAATAATAACTTAATAATCCCAAGCTCCAACTATTTTTAGCGCAATTTCCTTACAGGAATTGCGATTATTAACTCGTCATTTCTGGATGGATGGATGGATGGATGGGTGTCCGCAATGTATGGATGTGTGTCCGCAGCTTTAAGTCGTATCTCCTCCTCAACGAAGCAATATCGAGGACTAATTCCAAAGCAAATATGTTAAGCAAGTTCCGAAGATGATTGTGGGCCCAAAAAATTCCCGAAATTCCCCCCTATTGGATTTCCCGGAAAAGCCAAAAAACCTCGAAAAAATGCAGTTTTTAGCCCATATCTCGGCAACCAGACCACTTAGCGATTTGAATTATTTACCAATCGATTTCTGCCATAATTTAGAACAATATTGCCGAAGAAAGTTTTCAAAAATATCCTTTCGTTCGGTCACAAAAAATTAATTATGAACAAATAAGTTTATATTTATAGGATGATATTTACTACTTTACTTGTTTAAACTGAGCATCGTGTAGGCCTACTCGTTAAAATAAAACTATTTCCGTTGATATAGGTTAATATAGTTGTCTTTATTTTTTACTTAATAATTCAAACGTTATTTTTGTACCCTATTAAATAATAAATATTTTTTTCTATTTTGTTTTGAATTATTAAAACTACTTGTGTTGCATTATTTATTTGCTGAATATATGATTTATCTCGATTTAAAATTGTTATGGATAACATGAGGAAATTGCGCTTAAATTGTCACTAGACTTTTTATTAACTTGTTTTATATATTTTTTTTCTTAATCGCGGTATTCATGATTATACTTGAGGTGGTGTCGTTATGTTATTTGCCATTTCGATAAATATACCGATCCTGCAAAATTGAGGTAGACGTAGGGGTAGTTGTAGATGAGACGTAGACAGGCACGTGGACGTGGACAAAAGAGCGTAGGCGTAGGTATAGACCAGAGCTAGGGTATGGGCATGGGCATGGGCACGGGCATGGGCATGGGCATGGGCATGGGCATGGGCATGGGCATGGGCATGGGCATGGGCATGGGCATGTTCATGGGCATGGGCATGGGCATGGGCATGGGCATGGGCATGGGCATAGGCATAGGCATAGTCATAGGCATAGGCATAGGCGTATGTATCTTTACCTCAGCATATAAAGGGGATAATTTTCTCAGCCCAGTCGCCTTTATTCCCCCTAACGTTCCCCATCGGACTCGAAACTTCTAGGTCTAGGTTAAGAATCTTGCGCTATACCCCTAAGCAACGTCATCCCATGTTAGAACATATAGGACGACATTAAAAATCTTTAAAACCTCCTTGATGACTCTTCCTCACCAACATAATCATGACACTCACTAAAACATCCGTGTTTACTGCTCTCTGTGTACTTTATAGGTCTCCACCCATAGGGATTAGTGTACATTACGATTCTGGCCCAGAGCCAAAGCTGGAGCCGTTGCTTCAACACGGCTCACACGATGTCCACTTCTCCCAAGCGACAGATAAAGAATTCTGGGATGATGGTCCGATAGATATCTATGAAGCTTTTGCTCAACATTCCTACAAGACTTTAGATACGTGTAACAATTCTTGTGACTATAAAGACGATCTATGTGAAGCCAGAACAATGGAAAAATTTGATTCAATTATTTCAAGAAATTTAATACAGAAGCCCAAACCGTTCCTTGCAAGAGGGCAGTATGTTTTTGAGTGGGAGAAAAAATATTTGAGTTATCCACCTTTGAACGATTCTAAAACGCTTCCAGATTTGGAGTTGTCTAAAGTGACAGTTGAAAACACAAGACAAGGTGTGGTCAGGTGTAAGATACTTGAAACTATACACTTTCGTCTGGATGTCGTGGATGGGTATGGGCGTCAGAGAACCAAGGGAGACGATGTGGTCAGGGTGTGGATGAAGGGAGGTAATAACTCGGATTACGCTGTTGTTGGTAACGTCACAGATTTACAAAATGGCAGCTATACTTTCTCTGTCAAATGTTTGTGGGCTGGTATCTCTAAGGTAAGTTTAAATATTTTAATTACTTGATTTATTTTTATTTTAGTATTTACGTAAAGCTTCATAAAGATCTTTTATTTGTTTTAAATATATCACATAGATGAATGATAAGTTCCTAATATTTTAACTATGATGGTAATGCACGTTTCTCGCATTTCAAAAATTGTCAAAGAATGTACAAAGAACTTAATGAGTGATTTATTCATCCGAATCTAACCTTGGAGAAGTTAATGATATTTGCTGCTTTACCAAATCTAGATCTGTGTTTATTACGTGAAATATGTTGATAGTTGTAAACATTATAGTAGATAACTTATGTTGGTATTTTAAACATTCTTGTACGTTACCTTATATTGATGTTTTAATTTTATTGTTTGCTATGTTAATGTTTTTAACATTATTTTCTGTTATATAAACGTTTTTAACATTATTGTATGTTATATAATGTCATTGGTTTTTTCATTATTGAATTTTACTTTATATCTTTTTAAAATGATTGCTTGTTACTTTATGTTAAATATTATACCATTAATTTGCGTTACCTTTCTGCTAATATTTACCTACTGTAGCTTCACGTGGCCATCGCCTACCCTCGTGAGTTCATCAGGACGGTCATACATCAGGTACACACAGGTGTAGCCAGGTACATGGTGGCTACATTCGATCATGGGATGGCCCGAGAGGTAGAGTAAAGGTTAAACCTGTACACACATAGTTACCAACATATATTATTCTATCCCCATACCAAAAAGACACACACAAGTTATAGCCTGGAGACGGCTATATGCAAACATACTTTATACAAACTCTTATATATCCACCTTGACGAGTAAGTTCAGGGTTTCTTTCATACATCTACCTTTGGGGGAAGGTGGGGAATTGCAGGGATTGAGCTATATAAATAGAAAAATCCTAATCATAGTTATATGCTATCTCAGGACACCATCTGCTTCCATACACCAAACATACCAGGCTGGGAGTGTATCTGTAACTTCAGCAAGTTTGGTTATGAGAATTATTACTGTGGTAGACCGAGGCATCCGAGGTAGGAAACTTCATTAACTACTGGGTATTGAGGCTCAGGTGAACAAGACATTAGGGAGGTGCTGAGAGCAACAAAACATGATCACCCCCCCCCCCCAATCGTACTCTTGCCGTCTAAGTGTTTGCTCTAACGTTTTAACTGTAATAACTAACAATTTTAACTTTCAAATTTTTACACACACACATACACACACACACACACACACATATATATATATATATATATATATATATATATATATATATATATATATATATATATATATATATATATATATATATATATATATATAATATATATATATATATGATTACATATAGGTATGTTTATATATCTTTTTAAAATTGTAAAGGTTAACGTGTAATAACTGGTACAGTAGCAATGCTTTGACCATTTCACCTCCACATGACGTCACAGAGGCCGAACAAAATCTAATTAGGTCAATTTGCAGGTATTATAAAAGACTTGTTTTAAATAAATAGAAGAAACATTTTATATAATTTTAAAAATTTCCTTTTGAAGCCACTTAACCCGAGCTAGCGTCTACAAAGACTGGCTTTCGTTTTGGAACAGGATGTAAAGTTCCTTTTAAGGAAGGAGGAGAATGTCCTCTTTGATTACCGGGGGGGACACTTAAAACTTTAGTAGGGGGCGGACAAAAATGTACATATTTTCCATATCAATTTTATTTCATTTGAAAGAGATGCCTAAAGAAACTCTGGTAACATGAACACACTGAAACACCTCACAATAAAATAAACGCTGGCTTTGTATTTGTTAACTGTTTTTCTTTTATACAGTCAAGCAGCTGAACGTCTTGTTGAAAACAATTATCTAATAGTTACAGAAAATACAGGTGAATAATATTTTATAGAATTGATTTTATTTTTTATTTTTTACTAATTCGTTGTTTTCACCATAAATCAAAAAACAAATTCAGACTTAATTATTGTTTTAATTGATTTTTTTCTATATTTCTTATTTTTAGTGGTAGAAAATACAGGTGAATAATATTTTATCGAACTGATTTTCTTTTTACTAATTCGGTGTTTTCACCAGAAATTTAAAAAAAAACAAATTCAGACTTAAGGAATTTTTAAATTGATTTTTTTTTCTACATTTAATTTAATTCAATTTTTTATTCTTAGTGGCAGAAAATCTTGTGCATCTTCAATCGTGTCGAGAGTCCAACAAACGCGTCACGTGGTCTCAAACTACCCCCAAAGGTTTCTGGTCCCCGGGTCACGTCTGGTCCTCCCTCGTCTGTAAAGACCCCGGGGTCATCAACTCCAGCTGGACCCTGAACTGTCTCCGTGACAGCTCTGTGTGGATCTTCGGCGACTCCAACGCCCGAGAAACCTACAACTACCTTTTAAATCTAACCCAGTGCGAACACGTCCAGGGAGGGTACCAATACTGGGGACATTGTTTCCAACCCATGTACAGTCTCAGCATAAACGTGAATTCTCACGAGGGTCCTAAGTACACACACGCATGGTCGTCTGACTATTTTACCGTCCCAAGTTTTATACAGAAGCTTCCAAAAAACCAGAAACATATTCTCATCATTCAGTATTACCTCCACTACACGGCTGCCCATCTCGCTGTGCTGTCGTTACGTATGAAATCTCTGAGAGCCGCCATAGAAAAACTGCTTGAAGAAAATCCTAACGTCTTGATAGGACTTAGAGGTCCTCATATCTCAACGTGGCAGTATAATGAAAACCATGCAATAGGGGGAGATGCTTTAGGGCAACAGTACATGGAGATTATACGAGAACGGTTCAAAGGTTTGGAAGATAAAGTCGTGTTGTTGGATCTATGGGAGATGACGATTGGAATCGAGAACGCTGATTTTCATCCACCAGCGTTTGTCAACAGGGAGATGATTAAGTTTTTGTTGTCTTTTCAGTGTTTGTGATTTGTAACTAGCTGGAGTTAGTTGTAACTAAGGAGTGGGTTGTTACTTGGTGGTTGTAACTAATTGGGTGTAACTGAGTAGCTGTAACTGAGTAGTTTAAATGTAGTTGTTGCTACTGAGTGATTGTTTTTGGGTGGTTGTTACTGGGTGATTATAAAGAAGTTTTTGGTTTTACCTGAATGCTTTTAACTGAATAGTTTTAACTGAATAGTTACATTTGAGTGTTTGTAGCTAAATGATTGTCTAACCAAAACTCGTACAAGCTGTGTGATTCTGTGATGAACGTCAAATAAAAAAATAAACTCGGGTAATTGTTTTCTATTGTATCAATAAACAAAAAGGTGATTCTGTTTTCTCTAGTGATACGAAGTTCATTTGCATTCTCAGATCTCAAGGGAAGTAAATATGATTATGTAGGTATTGGCTTTAACAATGGTACTTTTTTATGATTATCTACCCTGTTTTAGCCGTGTCCCACGCTTACACTGGCCCACACCTCTCACTGACCCACACCTCTCACTGACCCACACCTCTCACTGACCCACACCTCACACTGACCCACGCCTAACACTGACCCACGCCCCACAAGAGATTGACCCAGGGTTTCCTACAATCAAACTTTAAAACTTCAACATAAAAACTACACTAGAATAACGTTCATCCTTAATGTTTTCACCCAACGACGTGTTGACAGCATCTGCAGAGTATAACACTATCTATCACAGCTTTAAACATGAACTGAACACGCCATTCATCGTAACATATCGAGCAGTATAAATTATTTTCTTATTTCAAAATCTTTTTACAGTGTCAACATACATGTTCAACGGACCGAAGCATGTTTTTAAATAGCGTATAATGTAGTATGCGGGGTGAAAGCTAAACAAAATTAAAAGCTGAAATGTAGAAGGCGAATTTTCTTTAGTAATAAACCACTGCCAATATCCAGCTTTTAATTAATTGCTATGAGATTTAAACGTGTATTTAAAATTGATTATTAATTACCGTCTATTATAACTTGGTAAGTTTTGTTGAGTTTTAATGGTGGGTTACTAATCCTATCCTCGACAATGGACTGGCGTCAGTGACGTTTGTGCTCAAGTTTTGGCTTGTTTTCCACAACTATGGACTTGATTTTATTAAAGGATCGTATATCAAGTAAAGAAGAATCTAGTGCGGGGAACTCTGAAAAGATTTATAATGCAATAATCTTGCATTATTAACAAATCTAAAGAATTAATTAATCAAAAAGCCTGTGGTTGTTGCGCTAAAAAAAGCAGTATTCTCTTCTAATATGTTGCTTAATAAGATGATGACACGCAATTATATTCATTACAGCTCGGGTTTTGTACGTTGCTGGGGTTGTGTATGTGTGTTTGATTGTTTTCGTGGATTGGGTTGTGTAGGTGTGTTTGATTGTTTTCGTGGATTGGGTTGTGTAGGTGTGTTTGATTGTTTTCGTGGATTGGGTTGTGTACAGGGGCGGAACTACAGTGCTGCCAGACCCCGCAATGCGGGGGGGGGGGGGGGCAGGCCGTTTAGGGGCCCTCAGCCGACCATAATCAATTTTTTTATAGTTAAAAAATAATTTTCTTGTAAAACAAAAAACAGATCTACTACAGTAGTGATGTTCTACAGTACCTAACATACGCTGTTTCGTAAAGGGAAAAATATATATATATAGGCTATATGAGTTGTAGTGTGAAAGATAGGCAAACGTTTAAACCACTTCCATGACTTAGGAAACTTTTTATAGATCTGCACTAAATAAATTAAAAAGCAATTACTTCTCTAAAATTTTAATTTAAAAAAAATACATAATAAAGAATGATATAGTGCAAAAGAAAATGTATTAAAAACTAATAATATAAATACAAAAAACAAAAATAAACATAAGGCGAGAAACCATTACACATACAAAGCTTTCATGCTTCATATTCTTTGACCGACATTTAATGAAGGAGGCATTATGTCAAACAGTAAAATAGACAGTTTCAAAGCAGACTAAGCACTCACACAAATGATGTGTTTTTGTAACAAGTTTTAATTAAAAATAAAAACTAAGAATTTTTAATGTTTACAAATTTTGAACAATCGAGTATTGAGTATTCTATTTTCGTATTTTGTTTATATATATATATATATATATATATATATATATATATATATATATATATATATATATATATATATGGGGTCAAAAAAAATTTTGCGGGGTGGCCCTTTTTTTCTAGTTCCGTCACTGCTTTAAATAGAGGACTTTTACCATTAATTCAGATTGATGTATATTCCAATTTGCTTTTCTTTTTGAAGCGATTTTTTTTTAAATCTATTTTTCAAGTTTTGTTATAGTCAACGTTACATATCTTGTTATTTGAAAACGCATCATGAGGCTTTAGTATTTACTTGAATCTAAGCTGCTTGGTATCATTTTGTATTTTTTATGTTTACCTCAATCTTAGCTGTAACATAGGTCTAATGTAACGGGGTCTTGTTTGATGGTCAGGCTAGAAACCTATGGTGACTACTGAGTCTGATGACACAGGCCAAAGTTAAAGGCCAGAATTAAATGGCCAGAATTAAAGGCCAGACTAGAAACCTATGGTGACTACTGAAAACACAGGCCAAAGTCAACGGGTTCCCGTTTGATGGCCAGAATTAAATGGCCAGACTAGAAACCTATAGTGTCTCAGCCCAAAGCCTCTCATGAACTGAATAGTGGGTGTAGAGTAGTTACCCATAGGCTTGAGTATATCTATCGTAACTTGATGAAAATGATAAACACGTGGTTCCTCGTCGATTGAGTAAGCCGCCACACTTATCTGTGTCTTGTCTTCCATGTGAATGTCCACTAAGGACTGCAGTAATCCACGGAGTAAGTCTCTGAGACATGTTAAACCAACACACCACAACCCACTGAGTAAGCCTCTGTTAAACCAACACAACACAACTCACTGAGTAAGTCTCTGTTAAACCAACACACCACAACCCACGGAGTAAGTCTCTGAGACCTGTTAAACCAACACACCACAACACACGTAGTAAGTCTCTGAGACCTGTTAAACCAACACACCACAACCACGGAGTAAGTCTCTGAGACCTGTTAAACCAACACACCACAACCCACGGAGTAAGTCTCTGAGACCACTTAAACCAACACACCACAACCCATGGAGTAAGTCTCTGAGACCACTTAAACCAACACACCACAACCCACGGAGTAAGTCTCTGAGACTCTTAAACCAACACACCACAACTCACTGAGTAAGCCTCTGAGACCTCTTAAACCAACACACCACAACCCACGGAGTAAGTCTCTGAGACCTGTTAAACCAACACACCACAACCCACGGAGTAAGTCTCTGAGACCTGTTAAACCAACACACCACAACACACGGAGTAAGTCTCTGAGACCTGTTAAACCAACACACCACAACCACGGAGTAAGTCTCTGAGACCTGTTAAACCAACACACCACAACCCACGGAGTAAGTCTCTGAGACTCTTAAACCAACACACCACAACTCACTGAGTAAGCCTCTGAGACCACTTAAACCAACACACCACATGCACTCGTGTTAATTTTCCACTGACGCACAGCACTTGAGACAAAAAGAACACAATCCCATTGCTCGTCTAGTCAAATATATCAGGTGTATTCTAGTATAGTATTACACAAGGTCGTGACTGCCATATTTTTCTGAAGCTCGGGTCTATGAAGTATGGGCAGAGTTCCGCTCACTGCTAGAATGTTGAGTACATGACTACAGCGGTTCTCATTCATTTTTAGCCTTGGGACTTACCTTAGATAAACATCGTTAGTATTATCTGTGCACAGTTTAAAGCTACCACCAACTAACCGCTGTGACATTTGCCTGAGGAAAAAAAATTCGTTAAGAATTGTATAAACTGTTGTCAATCGACTTCTGAGGTGCTGCACCATGTGACAGTTTTTTTCAGGCATCCTTTCACCTCCCCCCCCCCCCCTCGAAGCATATCTACCGCCCCTCGAACGAAACATAATTTATATAAAAATATATACAACCTGCCCCCCCCCGTCCCCCCCCCCCCAACGAAATTTAGTGTACCCCTCGAAAGTTTAAACTGTACCCCTCCGGAGTACAGTTTCTGAAAGAAACACTGGCTGTAATTGTATACAATTGTCCACGCTCGCCCTGATTAGTAAAGTACCCTACTCTTTCTGGACCTTAACTAAAAGTCTTTAACCCAGAGGCGTGGCGACCCTTCCCGCGCCCGGGGACAAACTTTTCGATTTGTACCCCCCCCCCCCTCAAACTTTCAATTTGCACCCCCCCTCAAATTTTCAAATTGCAACCCCCCCCCTCAACCATTCAATTTATTTTTCCAACCCATTTTGGCGCCCCCTAAGGTCGGCGCCCGGGGACAAATGTCCCCCCCCCCCCAGCCCCCCCCCCCCCCCCCCCTCGCTACGCTACTGCTTTAACCTGACAACTTTTACCTTGAAGGTTGTGGGGGAGAGAGAGAGAGAGAGAGAGAGAGAGAGAGAGAGAGAGAGAGAGAGAGAGAGAGAGAGAGAGAAAGCGTTGTAAATCAAGAGCTCAGATTGAATGGTTTGCTACGTGATATGAGAGGAAATGGGGAGGTTTAAGAAATGTGTACCATCATTGGTTTTTATTTTCAATATAAGGGAAGAAAAATTGGTTAATTTCCGTTAGTTATGGGGTGGGTAGAGGCTTAGAACTTGTGAAGCCATTTTAAGGGGGGGGGGGTCTGACATTTTTAATACATGTCATGGCCGTCTACAGTTTAATGACGTCATGTAAGTGATGTAACCCGGCCATTTTTCCCGAACCCTAGGGGTCTAGTCACAACCATGATAAAAATGTAACAGCATTGACATTTGTGATGGCGGGGACCCAATAACAAAATTAGACCCCTATGCAACCATTAAAATTATTATTTTATTGCTTCGTGCTTATAACAAATAATTATTTTATTGTTTCCTGATTATAGCACAAATAAAGCATTAAAATAATTATTTTATTGTTTCGTGCTTATAACACAAATTAACCATTAAAATTGTAAACCTTAGATTTAAAAAAAAAAAAAAACCCATTGAAATTAACAACCGTAGCACACATAAAAAAATTGACAAACTTTTCACCCCTAGAAAATCAAATTGAACACACCATTTCATCAAAAACAAAAATTTCGTTTAAATGAGTCAATGGCTGTTTCTGTATAAAAGTTTTGTTGTATCCATTCTTTCGGTTAGGTTTACCTGCAGTTACCAAGCACTAATTACCATCAATTACAAGCTCAATGGTTGCGTGTCACGTGGGTCGAGTGAACTCGCCCGTACCATAACACGATCAACTTGTAATCTCGCTTATCGTATGCAACACCTTTCAGTTCCGTGTCGCGTATGTGTAAACTACGGCCTCACCTGTACCAGAGCAGGTCACAGCCTCGGCACTGAAATACGTGTGACCACTCTTTTGGTGCGGCACTATTTAACTATCCTAACCTCAGTATTTGTGTTATTGATTTTATCACGATACCGTTTCCTATCGATAAATGTAGGGCGTCAGTGGGTGAACAAACTTTACTAGTTACAGCAGGAAAGGGGGGAGGGGGGGGGAGTTATGGCTGCCGATTAACGAATAAATCAAAGGCAAAAATTACTTTTTTTCTAATTTTCTTATTGAGGAATACATTATCGTGCTAATTTTTCATCAAGTTGTTGTGTTATTCCTTCGTGAATCATTCACCATTGTAATGTTACTGGTGGTAGCACCACCACTTCCACCCCTCCCCCATTGGTCGTAACACCACAGAGACCACCCACACCCTCCAAGGTTAAATAGATTTGTTATATTTCGATCGGATATATTTAAGTAGCCATTTACAAAACTCTCGTTGGTAAAAACTAATCGATATGGTTTTTGGGACTTTGACTGCCAGCACCTGTTGAGTAGTCCAAGCTGGTTGGGATTAGCGGAAGGAGTTAATCAGAGAACAAAAGCTAAATGTAAGAGAGCAGTCACGGGGAACTTGAACACCTGACAGCAGGTGAGAAGACACGGGCCGAAGGTTACGGTGTTAGGTTGGGATGGGGGGAAGTTGAGGTAGGGTTGTGGGTGGGGCTAAGATGGAATGGGGGTGATGTAGAGATGATGGTGGGGGAAGCTGGGATGGGAGTGAGGTAGGGATGGGGAGGGGGTCTGTGATGGGATGGGAGTGATACAAGCAACCCACATCTAATGACCTAAACCACCAACATCGAGTGAAACAAACCACCAACATCAAATGACACAAACCACCAACATCAAATGACACAAACCACCAACATCAAATGACACAAACCACCAACATCAAATGACACAAACCACCAACACCAAATGACACAAACCACCAACATCAAATGACCTAAATCACCCACATCAAATGACACAAACCACCAACATCAAATGACACAAACCACCAACATCAAATGACACAAACCACCAATATCAAATGACACAAACCACCAACATCAAATGACACAAACCACCAACATCAAATGACACAAACCACCAACATCAACTGACAGAAACCACCAACATCAAATGACACAAACCACCAACATCAAATGACACAAACCACCAACATCAAATGACACAAACCACCAACATCAAATGACACAAACCACCAACATCAAATGACACAAACCACCAACATCAAATGACACAAACCACCAACATCAAATGACACAAACCACCAACATCAAATGACACAAAACACCAACATTAAATGACACAAACCACCAACATCAAATGACACAAACCACCAACATCAAATGACACAAAACACCAACATTAAATGACAAACCACCAACATCAAATGACACAAACCACCAACATCAAATGACACAAACCACCAACATCAAATGACACAAACCACCAACATCAAATGACACAAACCACCAACATCAAATGACACAAACCACCAACATCAAATGACACAAACCACCAACATCAAATGAAGCAAACCACCAACATCAAATGACACAAACCACCAACATCAAATGACACAAACCACCAACATCAAATGACACAAACCACCAACATCAAATGACGCAAACCACCAACATCAAATGACGCAAACCACCAACATCAAATGACACAAACCACCAACATCAAATGACACAAACCACCAACATCAAATGACGCAAACCACCAACATCAAATGACACAAACCACCAACATCAAATGACACAAACCACCAACATCAAATGACACAAACCACCAACATCAAATGACACAAACCACCAACATCAAAAGACGTAAACCACCAACATCAAAAGACACCAACATTCCGTGAGAAATTCCACCCTGCGTCGTCTGTATCAGGGGCGGAACTAGAGTGCCGCCAGACCCCGCAATGCGTGGAGGGGGGGGCGGGCCGTTTAGCGGCCCTCAGCCGACCATAATCAATTTTTTTTATAGTTAAAAAATAATGTTCTTGTAAAAAAACAGATCTACTACAGTAGTGATGTTCTACAGTACCTAACACACGATGTTTCGTAAAGAAAAGAAAAAACATATAGGCTACATGAGTTGTAGTGTGAAAGATAGGCAAACGTTCAAACCACTTCCATGACTTATTTCCCTTTTTTAAATAGCCATATATGTTTGTTCTTAAGAAACTTTTAATAGATCTGCACTAAGCAAATTAAAAAGCAATTACTTCTCTTAATTTTTATTTTAAAAAAATACATAATAAAGAATGATATAGTGCATAAGGAAATGTATTATTTTTTTTTGCGGGGTGGCCTTTTTTTCTAGTTCCGCCACTGGTTGTGTACGTAATTTTATGTGTTGTAGATGGTGTTGTTAACTGCATTTGGTATTATACTATACATGTGCAAACAAAAACTAAAATCAATATCATTTCTTAATTGACATCTCTCAATAGCTAGATCGCAAAAATAAACTAACCAGTCTACAAATGAATTTAACACACTGGTCACGAAACAAAAGAAAAATAAATAAAAACTAACAGCAACAATAAAATTACACATACGATATTCGTATGTCAAAAATAAATTGTAACATGTTATGAAGCTTCCTTCAGGTAACTTGTTAAATTTTATCTCGTACAAACGGTCTTCAACACCTGTGTCAAACCTCGTATCAAAACGCTATTACGGTACAGTGAATCCAAAAAGGCGAAAACTACTAGGGGATACAAATTGCATTACACATGACCCATACAGTACAGACTTAAGCGTGACTGCAACAAACGCGACGAATCAATTTAAGATACGCGTCTTCCTGCTTTATGAAACGTACACGCAAGGGGTGATAGGAGAAGTGCACCGAGGTTAGTATTTCTATAGGCTTGATCAGTGTATGACAGGGTGGAAAATACCAGGTGAAGGAATCAAATAGTATTAAGGTTTAACAGTTTTTTTCTATTTTAGATTATTATTGATAAATCCAAATAGTATATATATATATATATATATATATATATATATATATATATATATATATATATATATATATATATATATATATATATATATATATCTTAAACAATTTCGTAGTCCTGCAAGTATTATTCATCACAAATAAGACGTATAATTTCCCATTCTATCACTAGTTCCGTTATTTTAATATTCTATTTTTATGCTAGATCATTAGCTGCGTTTAACTTTGTTTAATTAAAGATTAAAACCATATTTATTAAATTCAATTTAGAATATACTAGCAGATTATGTTTTCAATAAAAATGCGTATATGTAAGCCCTAAAAGGGGATAACCTCATTTATATTGGTTGTGAGTTATCACAGCTTGTCAAGAGATAGAGAAAGTGCAATATAATACATATTTCTTATATTTGTAGGCCCTATATTTGAATTATATTTTTAATCGGGTTTCTTTGAGTACGGATTGTATATGTTTACATCGTGCTATTTATAGCGATGTTGTTATTTTATTTTCAATTTATCTGTTACACTTACTTTTACCTCTATTCTCTGAGTGCATATGTCATTATTATATTCGAATTTTCAAACATATACAGTTCTATGTATTTCTTGTTACAGATTTTTTTAAAAAACTAATGAAGAATGAAATTTACAAAGATTACCAATAGAAACATCTTCTTAATTGTTGGATTTATGATCGTGTATTGTTCGGTACTATATCTCTTTAAATGGTCAGTAAAAAAACATATTGTTACCATGCAATTTATAAAATATTGTAACATTATTAATATCAATAACTACATTTTGTAAAGATATTTGTCGTTAAGAAATCTAATAAAAGACAAGTAATTTTTTATCTTTAAAATAACAGGCAGCAGATGTTAAATTTTGCTCCTAAGGCCACACCACTATACAAAAAAGAAACGAGGCTTCTACATGGAGAATTTGACGTCCATTTTCATCAAGCGATTGAGGAAGAATTCTGGGACGATGGTCCGATAAATATCTATGAAGCTTTTGCTCAACATTCCTACAAGACTTTAGATACGTGTAACAATACTTGTCATGCAGTTAACCTTGCGTGTACAGTTACAAGTACAAAGGAATTTAACGGACTAATAGCAAAAGGTTTGATGGTACCTAAACCGTTCCTTGCAAGAGGGCAGTATATTTTTGATTGGGAGAAAAAATATTTGAGTTATCCCCCTTTGAACGATATTAAAACGCTGCCAGATTTGAAGTTGTCTAAAGTGACAGTTGAAAACACAAGACAAGGTGTGGTCAGGTGTAAGATACTTGAAACTATACACGGTCGTCTGGATGTCGTGGATGGGTACGGGCGTCAGAGAACCAAGGGAGACGATGTAGTCAGGGTTTGGATGAAGGGCAGTAATTCAACTGGATATGCTGTAGTGGGTGATGTCTTGGATCTAAAAAATGGCAGCTATGTTTACAATGTCAAATGTCTCTGGGCTGGATTATCTTCGGTAACGTATTTTTTTATTTTTTTTTAAAATTATGTTGTTGTTTTTTTTAAAAAACAACTTTTATAATTACAAGCTCTTATTTTTGCCGAGAAAAAATAAAGCAAAGTATTTTTTTTATATTTAATAATGCACCACTGATTTGTAGATAAAGTAAATTTGTATATTATGTATATCAAATCCTTAGCACAATAGGCTTTAAAAGTTGGTTAAATTATTTTTCCACCAAAGTTGAATATTTGATAACATTTGAGAAATAAGTACAAAATGGTTTTACTAAGGCTAGAAATATTCTAATAAATTTCTTGGATCCAAAAAGTAAAAATTGCAGCTATGTTTTTAATGTAAAATGTCTCTAGACTGTGTTATTTTCGGTAACGTAATTTTTTTTAATTTATTAAAAAATTTTTTTTATTAAAACCTTATAATTAAAGATTGATTTATTTCTGTCATAAAAAAGAAAACAAAGTTGTTTTTTAAAGTAATATTACATCACTGTTTTTATTACAATTTTAGAAAGAGTAGATTTGTAAAATTATGATTCTAAAACCCTTAGTACAACAGGCTTGAAAAGCTGGTTTCAAAGGGTTGTTGCCAGAAAGCATATTTTTCAACCAAAGTTGAATATTTTATAACATTTGAGAAATAACTACAAAATGACTTCCGGTATTACTAATACTAGAAATATTCAAACACATAATTACTAGTAATATAATAGTTATTTAGCTAAAACTTTAATTTTTTAATGAGGAAAGGGTTTTGGTGTGATAAGGAATGTTATATTATTTAATACAAATAAACTATTAGGCTACCCCATTGACCACTATTTTGTATTTTATCACGGAAAACAATTGTTGTGATTTTCATAGTTTGACTTCAACGAGGTATTGAGTGCGGATTTTTTAAATATTCGATAATTCTAAACGTCTTTTCAGTGGTTTATATTCAATGAAAAAAAATTAGTATAATGGGTGGTTCCTAAAAGGCTTTAATTTTTTTTAAATACGACTATAATTTTATCGCTTACCATATTTTTAAATGATTTTTTTAGTATGATTACATAGACTTTGCAAGAACATTATATGTTCTCGAAATAATAAGTAAAGGCCTAAAGTAATTTTTAAATATCTTTATTTAATAAATCAGAAATTGAATTGTATCATAGTTATTTTCACATTAAATTGTCACTGCGCCTTGACCTGGAATGAATTAGCTCAGTACTAAAAATCTGTAGAAGTGAGTAAAAATTCGTTGTCTAGATTTAAGGCAGAAATAAGATAACAGCACAAGGAATCGTGTTAAATGAAAGCTTGTCATGTTAAAGAGATTCAGAAAATTGTGTTATTAATTAACAATTGTATTTTAGGATTGCTATTCAATAAATTTTAATACAGTAGGCACATTTAAAACTGAATGTTTTTTAAAACGTTTTTTTTTTAAATAAAATGTTCGAGTGCAGTCAGATGTTATAAAAAGATGTTGTAAAGGATCTAATCCTTGACCCAAGTTTTTATCAAAAAAACAACTTTGCTCTTTTTACTTTCTCGTATATACGAAGTAGAGAGAAAGTCTTGTAATCGTGCAAAAGAAAAATCGAGATTTTTACAAATCTCGACGTTTTACATCTCACTGATACGGAAAAACATAATTTTGCAATCTTGTCCGTATGTCTGTGTGTCTGTCTGTGTGTCTGTGTGTGTGTGTGTGTGTGTGTGCGTAAACACGATAACTTGAGTACCGTTACAGCTAGGTTGATGAAATTTCATAAATAAGTATTTTATCAAAATCGTAGATCCGTATCAACTTTTGAGCGATTTCCGATAACCGGAAGTGGTACTTTTCCTACTTTGAAATTTTCAAAAGCCTATAACTTGAGTACTATTTCAGATAGATAAACGAAATTTCAAATGTAAGTAAAAGATCTAATACTCTACCTTCTGTTAAATTTGAGTCATTTCCGTTGACCGGAAGTACTAATTTACGCTACTTCCGATTTCTCAAAAAACTAATGTAAATTTTTAAAGTACTAATAATAATGCGCACTATTATGCACTTTTTTACTTAGCGTTCACTTGGTGTGCAATTCTTTTGTCTACGAGATTTTATTCTATTTTTAAAACTTTAAGTATTTAAAATGAATTAAAATCATGTCTATAGCCCGAGTTCCCATCCCCTATTATTTTATATAAAAATATTCGAGAAAGTTTAGGGGAGATCACTCCCGGTTTATTTTTCAATGCATTTTAATTTTTTGTATTCTAAAGATTTTTACTTTCTCGTATATACGAAGTAGAGAGAAAGTCTTGTAATCGTGCAAAAAAAAAAATCGAGATTTTTACAAATCTCGACGTTTTACACCTCACTGATACGGAAAAACATAATTTTGCAATCTTGTCCGTATGTCTGTGTGTCTGTCTGTCTGTCCGGGTGTAAACACGATAACTTGAGTACCGTTACAGCTAGGTTGATGAAATTTCATATATAAGTATTTTATCAAAATCGTAGATCCGTATCAACTTTTGAGCGATTTCCGATAACTGGAAGTGGTACTTTTCCTACTTTGAATTTTTCAAAAGCCTATAACTTGAGTACTATTTCAGATAGATAAATGAAATTTCACATGTAAGTAAAAGATCTAATTCTCTACCTTCTGTTAAATTTTGAGTAATTTCCGTTGACTGGAAGTAGTACTTTACGCTACTTCCGATTTCTCAAAAAACTAATGTAAATTTTAAAAGTACTAATAATATTGCGCACTATTATGCGCTTTTTTATTTGGCGTTCACTTGGTGTGCAATTAATTTGTTTACGAGATTTTATTCTATTTTTAAAACTTTAAGTATTTAAAATGGATTAAAAATCATGTCTATAGAACTTGTAAGTTTATCGTTCTTTCTCGCGTTAATTCGTGTCTGGTTAGCCAGGGAGAGATAAAAGTTTTCGAACTAAATCAATTGTTGTGAACGGGGTTTCCCATTGATAACAAAAACATGGCGGCTATTTGTTAGTAGGTCCCGCTTCAAGATTTCAAAATCATCAAACGTTCCAGAAATGCAACAACTGTAAAAACTTTCAACGCTGTTTTGTTCATATGGATGGGAACAAACACATGTGTATGCATTTTTGAATATAAAAGTTTTGTGGCGGTAAGTATATTGATTTTATTTCTTTTGTTGATAGTTTGTCCAAGGCTAGGGGACATTACTCTGACTCTACTCAGTCTTTGCTACGAGACTTAAGATTCCCAGACCTAGATCTAGACCTAGATCTAGATCTAGAATCTACCTACTAAGATCTACATTGCTTTAATCTAGTTCTAAGAGTATAAGTTCATGAATTAGAATATATTAGATCTAGATTCTAGATCTAGTATTTTAGTGATCTAGATAAAATATTTAAAATATTAAGAAAAGGATGACGGTAAAAACTAAAACAACAGGAAAATGAGGATGACTTCCAGTCTCACTCAGCCTACGACTACGACTTAGATCTAGATCTAGCTCTACTTATTAATCGAATCTAGATTCTAGATCTAGATATTAGATCTAGATATCTAGAACTTAGACAACAATGTTAATGTTAATAGACCTAGATCTAGATCTAGCTAGATTACTGAACTAGAGACTCTAGTACTGATTACTCAGTGATTACTGTTTAATATTTTAGAAGTAGGCCTATTAATATTATATATGTAACTAGGGGAAGTTACCAGAGACAGAAGGACGCAGTACAGCGCTGTCAACTTTGACACGACTGATGCAATAACACAGGTGTTGGCTGATAACGATCAGAAAGCCAAGGCGTAGTATCTTGGGAAGCGATACAATAAGAACGCAATACGGTCTGTCAACTTTGATGTGACAGGATGCAGATGGCTTATTAAATCGGACTGTACGACAGAAGCGGCGTAATTAACATTCTGATGCAACGATTAGAATCGATTACGATTACGATTATGATAGAACCGAATACGATTACGAATACGAAGGGGATATATAGGAAGGCGACGGCTGAGCTCGCTCTCTCTCTCTCTCGCTCTCTCTCGATCAGTCAGTCAGTGTGGCAGTATCAAGTTGGTTATTGAACGGGTTAGCCGTATTGTGTTAAGAAGGACGATAGACATGTGCATTCAGTTATGTGAAGACTAGTGAGGACTGTTGGGGGTCAGTTGATTCAGACTATTATTGTGAAGCATTCCTTTTGATTCATTATATTATTGTGAAGCATTTCTTTGATTCATGTAATAAAAGGATCAATAGCGAACCTGCATCTTCTAGTATCTATACTGTGGTCGATGTTGTGTAGAATGAGTGGTTAGACTCGGTAACATTTGGCGTTGTCGAGCAGAACTCGTTAACATTTGGCACTACAGGCAAATAGTCTCGTTACATTTGGCGCTGCGGACAGGATGAATTCAACGAGACCTGCCGCTTGAGGCACCCATAGTCAACCTTGTTCATAACTGTGTTTCGTGTGTGTGTGAATTCGGACATTCAGGAACAGTGAAAATTGAGGAACGAGGAAAATTTTTCATACACACACGGTAAGAAAGAACTCTTTTTTGTTTTTTTACTCAAGGAATAAAATGTCTACTCTGGACGAGAAGCAGACCCATATTGTGGTCCTGCCCAGAGAGTCCCACATTAAAAAATTTTACGGGGACGGTGATCCAGCTTTAACCAACAGGTTCAGTGAGGAGGTCAAAGCGGCCTGGGCCTCGAGACACATGTCACCAGAGGAAAGATTAAGACTGCTGATGGGCAGTATAGGAGAGACGGTTAGGGCAGAGGTCAAATGCCACGATAAAACCATCCAATCAGATCCAGATAAGGTGCTGGATTTAATTATGGAGACCTTTGGGGAGAGACGGTCGGGATCGCAACTGCTATCGGAGTTCGTAGGCTTAAAGCAGAGAATGGCGGAGAGTGTGATGGAGTATTCACACCGAATGAACAGGGCCTTTGATTCGGTAAAGGGCAAAACACCTGACATTGATGTACGCCTACTGAGGGACCATTTCATCGAGGGGCTAGCAACCCCGATCTTAAGGAGAGAGTTGAAAGAGGAGGTCCACAAAGACCCGCAGTTGACCTTCCTTCAGGTCAGGAACTCAGCGATCCGCAGGTCCGAGGATGAGGACCAATCGAACTGTTCGGTGGACAAAGTCTCTGTGCCGGAACAGAGACAATCCCCACCCACAGG